GTAACTAAAATTGTAAAGTATTACTAACTATTTTGCCTCAATTTTTATTCGAAAACTCGATTTTTTTTACCAGACTTGGTCTTGGTCTTGCAACAGATAGGCGATGTTGGTCTTGGTCTTGAAAAGTGCAAGACCAAGACTGATTTTGAGCAACATTACACTCAATACATCTTTTTTTTTTTTTTTTTATTCAATTATAGCTAACTTTATATATATATATATATATATAGAAGTAAAGTATTTTTTTATGAAATAAACTTATTCTATTTTGCCTCTTTTGCGTTCTTCATTTCTTAAAGTGTATGTTTATGCTGTTCTACCATTATATATAGTTTTGTTCATAGTTTTAAGTGTTTTGTACGTAGTTGTATTTGTTTTGTATATAGCTTGTTCACTTAAGGTTTTCTTTACTTTTCAGTTTATTTTTTAAATTATATTTATTGTTCCAAACTTTTAGTCCAGTAGTAGTCTTTTCTTTTTGAACAATTTTGTTATTATAAAGGAACTTTGTCCTAGAATGAAGTTTTCTCTCTCTCACTCTCTCTCTCTCTCTCTCTCTCTCTCTATATATATATATATATATATATATATATATATATATATATATATATATATATATATATACACATATTTAATTTTAAACGACTTAAGTTCCCCAGCGGGCACGCCGAGCTGAGGTGTCAAAATCGGTATAGGGTTTGTAATGGGCCAGTCCCAGGGCCTCTACAAACCCTAGACGAGTATAGACAAGGTGTCTGAATCCGTATAGGGTTTGTAAATACGCTACCTGGATCGGTTAATATTTATTTCTCGGCGGCCCGGGATTTTAATCTTGACACTTCTACTCTGGTAAGTTCGCGGTGGTAAAACTCAAGGCAGCTGTCAGGTTTTGGCAAAAAGAAACACAAGGACCACTTACCGGCGTAGTTTTTCCCATCAGTAGCAAGCATTACAAATACCAGTATCTCGAGGCATTGTAATTTCGGCTTTATTAGGCAGGTAGCAAAGGCTGCTTTCCCCGAAAATTCTTCCAATTACTATTTTTAGATTTTTGTTTTTCTTGTTGTACGCGAGATTCCAGAATTCTTCTTAATTTCATAGAGTGAGGGGAGGACGGTTTCTTTAAGAATGGTCGCAATATTTGACTATGAAGCCTTCGACAAGAAAGGCTTTGATTGACAATCTACAAAGTATTTCATATCGTATGTTCGATATTTCATATATATATGTGTGTATGTGTGTGTGTGTGTGTATATGTGTGTGTGTGAGTGTGTGTACATAACTTATGTGTTATATTTTCCCTTATCCCATATAAAATTATAAGACTTCCAAACGGTTGTAATGTTAATTCTAAGAAACAGCTCCTGGGAACTGCCCTTACATCTATCTTCCTAGAATTAGACTCCTCTTTCCTATATACCCTTCTGAAAATATGGTGATTTGTTCTCAGTTCATCTAGGGCCCGTCTCCACCCCACTCTCCTTTCTGATATTGTTATTTTGACTTTTTATGTTTTATTTACTTGTAAACTTGTAAAATAAACCTTTTTAAAATAGTCTTAGCTTCTATATTGAAGATAACTTATGTATATTTAATTGACCATGATTAAGAGGTAACCAAATTATTTTATAACCGTATTGGTGATTCTTATACAATATTGATGAAACGCGTGCAAAATTTGAACTTTTCTTAATTAATTAATTTAGAATCAGATTTTTCAAACATAAATTTTCAAGTCAATATAATGACTGCTACTGACGTATTTCCATCGTCATTGCAGACAGTGTTTAAGTAAGAAATTTTGTTATATATATATATATATCCATTTTTAAATTTTATTTACTCTTCATTTTTTTTTTCAAGTTCTCCATTTTTACTGAATAAGAAATATAAATTTGGTGTTGTACATCACACAACTTTTATTAAATACTAATTTTAAATAAATTAATCAACACAAAAAATTGACGATTGATATAATATAAAAAGTATGATCATTCTGTGCCAGTAGCTGATTTAGGAATTTTTTTTAGGAGGGGGGCCGAGGAGGAGGCTATTTTTTTTTTTTAATTTTAACTAACGGTAATTATCGGAACAATGATACTTTAAGGCATCATTTTTTTTTTTAATATATGTTTTTCCTCGAAACTTACATGTAGTACATATATTATGAGAATATTATACTCATATATTATGAGTACATATATTATGAGGATATGTTGTAATTTTTTAAATATTTGGTTCAGATCACTTATAAAAACAAAAATAGACCATTGAAAAAAAAACTAACTAAAACTGTCTATCTTGGGAGAGGGGGGGGGGAGAAGTACTTCAGCTTGAAAGCCTCCCACCTTGAATCCAATAGTGTACTGTGCCCTATATATTTTGTTGTGTGCTAAGCTGAAAATAAAGTTTATAAGTTTCCATAGAAATTCTATTTAGTTAGTAATACCAAAGTTAAGTAGGTAATTACTTGGATTTTTGATGGCCTAAATTGGGTGACCACCCACCGTTAAATGACTCGTGGCTGATATTCTCTCGCCCACGGGTGTGTGAGATCCATCAGTCATAATATTCAGTGGAATTTATCTTAAGATAGTGCTATGAGGTATTGTTTATTTTTAACGGGATTGTGTTAGAAAGTAAGAACCACCCTCATTTTATAATAAACACTTGGCAATTGAGGGATTTTTTTTCGTTCATTGTATGTATTTAACATTGGAAAATTCTGTGTTTGATTGGATATAAACATTACTCGGTGTGTTGAATGTTCTTTAAAAGTTTATAGATTAATATTAATTCATAAGGTCGAAATCACATCAGATTAGGTAAAACTACGTTCGAAAAATACTGCTTCCATGGGATCAGCGTTGATTCCGGGGTAGGGTTGCCGTTAAGATAGAAGAAGGGGAATGGGGGATAAAAGGGAAAGGGGAAGAATAGCTTTTCCTTATTTTATTTTGTTGAAAAACAAAAACATAAACTTTTCTTATAGTTATGTAATAAATAATTTTTACAGTATTTAAATATATTTTTTTCTTAAATACTTACATCTTGTATTGAAACTCAGCAATTACTCTTAACAATTCCCTCACCCAGTATGCCACAAACTTTGGGGAGGTAGGGGGTAATTGGAAAAAAAAAGGTTACACTTTATATTAATTTTTTTAAGTTTATAAATAATGTATATTATTAAAGATGAAACATAATTGTCAGGAATTTCAGACAAGATATTTTTATCGGCTAATCCAACAAAAACATCATAACTGAAATTTATGACAATTTGGTCATACTTATAATTGATCAGTCGAATACATACCATTCTCTAAAGTATATTCTTAAAGCTTATTAACTTTTAAAAATTATGTTTATAGTGAAAGTAGCGAGGTTACTGAAAGTTGTATTATACACCATACCAGATTTTTTTTTTTTAAAACCTGTACCACTACAACCCATAAAGGGTCTGGGATTCAGTACTATTTAGGGAAAGCACTGTTTCTAGGTCAACGGTTGTGCAAGGAGGTGATTTGACCGAGATCACGCTCAACCGCCAGGTTTTCCCCCTTAATTAATTATTTAATTAAGGGTACCCACTTTAAAGAGGCTGGGTGTGCCCCAGGAGGGTCTTCCGACCCAGGGACGCCCCATGGCCAATGAAACAGATAAATAAATTTCATGCCATGAGCCGGGGTTCGAACCTGGGACCTTTGCATTGGAAGCTCAGTGCCCTACCACTGAGCTACCCCACTCCCGAATGTTTTTTGTTTTGTGGCTTACATTTTTGGTAATGATTCCAAAGTGATAGGAATAAGTTTGTTTACTACTAAAAACTAAATAAAAATTAAATAGATGATTCAGAGTCATTAAGTAAAAAAACCTTGATTTACTGGTTAATTCTTAATATTTTTAATAATGTTATACTAATGTCAAATCCCTTTAGGATAATATTATAGAAAACGAGAAGTGGGCTTTAGAATCTTAGGATACAACGAAAAGAATATACATATGATGATAATGAAATAATAATAAATTAAAAAGAACAAATTATATATATATTCATATAATTCTTCTAGGAAAAGCCTGAGGACCGAGAATGGGTGTTGTGGGAATGAAAGGGGAAATTGTTTAACTTGGGTGAAGAAGGATGTCAGGAAATACATCAGTAGGGAGGGTAAAACCATTTTAACTATCCATAAAATCTGGGGACAAAGACATTCTTAGGAATTACGAATAAGAACCCTAACAAGCAGTATATCGGTTGTTTTATTTTTGCATCGAGATCTGTAGATACACTCCGTATAATGTACATTATATGGAGTATATCTACGCATGTTCAAATTAAACAATAACGTATCTACTGCTGCAAATAGGTGACAAAGGGAACTTAATTGCTCTAAGGAGAAAAATGTAGGAGACAAGGTTTTTCCAGAAAAGTGTTTGGTCTAAAGTAATTCCGAGATTTTTGATGGTTTGATAAAATTTTATAAGATTATTATCTAGGATAGGGTAGAATATGAAGAACTGTTTTAAGAAGCTGACTCGAACTTATTACAACTGCCTTTGCCACTGAACTTCAACTGCCCAGTGACTTATTCCATTCAATTCTCTTATAATTTTGTTGTGACTGGTAATACACATAATTTTCAGCATGGATGCGGTATTGGGAATCCTGGGTGAGGAGGTGAATGTGATTAATATAAATAGCGAGTTGAATAAGATTTTGTAGTTTGGTAAGGAGGACAATATAGTTAACTATGTTAAATGCTTAAGAGAAATAAAGAAGAAAGAGGATAGTTAGTTTTTGTTGTTCAGTGGTTTTTTTTTTTCAGAAGGCTGTATTGCACCGAGTAGCTAGACCAAAAGCCAGAATAAAACATCAATATTAATATTATACTAAGAGAAATGGTATATTATATAAATGAAGGACAACCTTCTAAAATCACTGCAGCATGGAGAAAATTATCCAATAAACAAGTAAAATTAAATTAATTTTTTTTTTCCAGATGACGTTTCTAGAGAAACACCGAAAGTATTACCACAAAGAGAAGATACAACACCATCGTTTTTTTCAACAGTGGATATACAAGGTCCTCCTACATTACAAGCATTTACATAAACTTGTATTTTTTGCACACAAAATAATTTATTATAATTTTTTTTAATGATTCAGAGATTAAAATGTCAGTTACTAAATTGCTGTTTAAAATTTATTACCTTTGGTTACTTAATAGCTTTTATTTAGAATTTATTTATAGTATTTTCTCTGTACAAATTTTCTTTAACTATTTATGATTTGCATCTTCTTTTCAGATTTATTTAAAACTTAAAATCTATTTTTTAAAAGGTTCTTAACTAAAAATGGGATGAAACTTTTGAGACGTTATGAATAACTAAATGGTCATGATCTTCTTCAACAAAGAGGCTTTAAAGATAAGAAAGTTTTTATTTTAGGTACAAATAAAAAACATATAATAATTATCTGAAGAGGTATTTAAAAAGAAACAGTCAGTAGTCAGACACTCGTCATCAATATGTTTCAATAATAACAAAAACCATAAACTTTTATGGTATTGCAATTGGTTAAATAATTCAAAATGGTATGTTTTGAGTAATAAAGTTGCACTGAGGAAACAATATGACCAAGTATGTATGTAGAAAAATCAAGAAAGGGATCCACAGTTCTAAATGTTACTTTTTTATTAAACGCCTCTGCCATTGGCTATTAGGCCATTCGGCTTCTGGCAGCCCAGTACAACTCTGCCATGAATCGTTTGTTTATATTTGTTCCGATCCCATCAGAAGTACTGTGGACATCTGACAGAGCGGGGCAAACTGAGAGGTGCAGGTCGTACATCTCATCCTGTTGGCAAAGAGGGCACACAGGACTTTCCACCACTTCAATCCTATGTAAATGCCTTTGCAGGTAATCGTGCCCTGTTTGCCTGTGGAAGTTTGCCACCGATTCTTTCCTATTTTTGGTTTGTTTTATCGGCTCCTCTGTTAAACATTCCCATTAAATGTTACTTAATCTCCTTTAATATGTAACAATCTCAGGAAGATATGTAAATCATACAGCACCCAAATTAAGGTTATTAATAAAATTACAAATACGCACACATAAGGTGAAATTTCGAGCATGGTAACAATCTCGCTGATAATTGATAAAATACAATACCATTTTAACTTCTAGTGCAACCAGAGATGAAACATTTTTTAAATCTAACTGTACATCATAAAACCTACTGAACATTATTCTGAGTATCATTTGAAATTCCTAATTGAGTAAAAATTATCATTGATTATTAATATCTATACAAAATATTATTCATAACAGAAAGATTTCCATATGTTGATAAGGCCAGGTCGAGTAAAAGCCATCAGAAACCATGGCTTGATGGATTTAGGATCATAAGTATTGGGAATACTTTCATGTTTCAAGTCGGATAAGACGACCTGTGTGGTTTTACTAACAAGACTTTCCAGCTGCGAATCTTGTTCTCATCATGAATTTTTTATTGTTTAGATGATTTAAATTTACCAATGTGGTATTTAATTTAATTTATTGTTTTCTACTCTACAGAACCAAACCATCATTATAAACCTTTCAAAGATATTTCACCCTTGAACCTTTTTTGAAGCTAATAACTTTTTCATGGTACCTAACATATTCCAAGGCAAAATAACAAAATTCGAGAAAGCAAATCACCAATATTTTAAACTTGAATAGATTTCAAACTTTTCAGAATGCAAATTACTGATACTGTCTCTCTCATATTGATTTAAAAAGTCACTTATTTCCTATAATAACTAGTTATTTTAATACAATCAGCTCTAAAAAAATAAATAAAAGCTTCTGACCCTCAACAGAATCCCAAATCATTTTGAAGTAAATGCAAGACTGTAAATCATTATTTAATCTTCTCTTCTACTGCACAGCATGTAAATCATACTTACATTAATTGAAGAGAAGTTTGTTGGCTAAACAACCCTTTCAAGACACCACCTCTTGACCACTTTAAGAAATTTCAATTATAATTTAATTTCCATAGGTTTATATGAGAATATTAATTAAAACAAAAACAATATAATACAATTTTTATTTTTAAGCTCAAAGGAATACAATATTTTAATTTTTAAATTCCAATATTTTTATTTTCTTTCAAATTTTACGGTATTTTAATTATAATTTAGAGTATCAATTCAAACAAATTAAATAACACACAATAAAACAGCATAAAAATATAAAATTTATTTATTGATATTTTAATAATCAGTGCAACAATGATACAATTTCATTTATAAGGTAACATTTATAAACTGTGATGTGTATAGAACATTTCTTTAGGAAGAAAAAATAATTGACTTTGGTCAATCATAGAACCCTTTATCTTTCATCCAGTCATCATCAACCATCTTTGTCAAATAGTTTCTGATACCATCAGCTAAAACAACTACAACATGTTTATTTTCATCCAGATGAGCAGCAGCCTTTAAAGCTCCGACCATCACAGCACCACTGCTCCCACCTGGGTAAAATAAGTCAATTAAAACTTGAAAATATTTCTTATAACAATTTATCTAAGGTAATTATGGACAATGAAAATTAAGTAAGTTGTTAATAAAAAACCAATAAATATTATTTTTAAGTTTTATTTTTTTCAAGGCCTGTTAGTCATTAAGAATGTGAAAAGGTGTAGGAAGAATTAGTAAAAGTAGAGATATTAAGTATTAGTAATATTTCTTTATCTGTTACAAACAGATATTTTTCTAAACACTTCTTAAATCTTTATTCTAATTTCCTTTGTAAATAAAATTTTTATTTTTCAGTTATAAAAATGGTTCATATAAATTTTAACTTTTTCTGACTTAATTGTTTTAATTTTTTTTAGTAATATAGCTATTTTGATGACGATGTATTGGAGTCAAATCACAAGATTAAAGTGATTGAAATCTACCATTTGATAGATTCTCACAAGCTTTGGTTTGGCAGTTTAATTTTTTTAAATTGTGGAGAAAAGAGAAACAACAGTATAATATAATGGGGCATATAAAAAAAAATATGACTGTTTTTCAATCAAATATTTGTATTATCATTTCTTTAATATAAAATACAATTAATACTCAAAGTATAGTCCATTGTTATCTACTGTCATTAGCCATCTGCTTAAGCAACTTCCGCAAAATTATCAATTTTTTTCTCTTGAAGAAAATGGGCCATGGATCTAAATAAGTAGTAATCCGATGGTGAGAGGTCTAGACTATATTGTGGATGAGTCAGGAGTTCGAACCTACAAAGTTCTTTAAACTTTTCTTTGGGTCGAAGGGAAGTGTGAGGACCAGCATTATATTGTTGGAATAAAATTCCTTTTCGATTGATGAAAGTAGGATAATGCTCTGACAACTTTGCCAACAATCTTTCCAGTTGTTCGCAGTAGAGTTCAGAATTCATAGAGCCTCCATCAGGAACGAATTTGTGATGAATAACACCTTCAAAATTCTAAAACACGCAATACATGGATTTTTTTTTTCAAAGTTCTCCCTTGCAACAACAGGAAAAGCAGACTGACCGTGATCTAGCCATTGCTCTCACCAGATTAGATTTCACCATTAAACCAAATTGTCATCACAAGTGTCAATGTTCCGGTAAAATCTCATATCAGAAGGGTTTTTCAATAAATTTTCACAAATTTCTAACCTCTTAGCTGATGGCTGAGGAGTAAGTTCATGAGGGATCAGTCTACTGTTCTATTTCACCTTCTCCATGGAGATTAGATGGCGACTAACAGTATCGCTCGACACACCATACTTCCTAGCAAGTTTGTGATTACTTGCGGACAGATTTGACTCAACAGCTTCCTGCAGAACCTCATCAATATCCATTAATGGTAGCCCGGAGCCCTTCTTCCTTTCCAACGTCGTATCTCCACTGCTAAATTTTTCAAACTAACACCATGCAGTACGCTGGTCAAAGACATCTTCTGGTCATGTTTCTTCTTTGAAACAAATAACTAAACTGAGGCTTTTTCTGAAGAAGTCGAATGGGATTACACCAAGTTTAGAGAATACTCTAAATGGATTATTAAGCATTGGTAAGTATTAAATAGGATTAAAATATTTACAGTCCTTTGAAATCTTGAATTTGATAAAACAGTCATTTTATTTATACATCCTATTATTTATTTGAGTCACTCATTTTATCCATATCAAGGAATTATACAGTTTAGCTTGACATATTTATAATTTTTAAAAGTTTGAAAAACTAAGATCTCTAAAGTATAAGCAATTTAAACTTACATGATGATAAAAAAATTCAATATCTCTATTTAAATTGATCTGATAGTGGAAGAGAGAAGGAATGGGGATGACCTTTAATCTACAGAGATGGTATACTCACTGAAATATTTTAACTTATCAATATCTTTTTAAAAGCTATGGACCTCATTGAAACAGAGAAAGTAACAAGCAGGTCTAATCAGATACTGTAAACAACACAATAATCTTTATTTATTTAAATAAATCCTTTCATTTTCCAATAACAAGAATTAGTAAGCAATTTGTAATTAGTCACTATGTCATAATTAAAATGTCTTTAACTTTCAATTGAAATAAACAATATTTAAAATGCAACATAAATATAGTATATACATTTCTTCACAAATATTAACAGTTATTCCTTTATGTGGTGAAACATAATTTTCAAAACGAACAACAAAGTTCATCAGTTAAAATTTCTATAAAAATATATTAATTTATAAATATGAAAATAAAAAGAACACAACACATTTAAGATTTTTCATAAATTATATTGGTATACACAGGAATTCCATGGAACCATAGGCTGCTTTGTAAGATCATGACTGAATTGGGAGTTGCTAGGAAATTGGTGAAAACATTGAATGTTTGTACAAAATCCTAAATATCAAGTTCAAATACAAGCAAAGTATCTAAAGCTATCGTTTAAACTGGCTTGCTGTAGGGAGATGCACTCTCACCGATGCTGTTCAACTTAGCACTGGAGAAAATGATAAGAAGTACATTATTTGAAAATGGAAGGGTGCACATTGGAATGAAACATAAAATTCTTGGATATCCAGATGATATAGCTGTACTTGGAAGCAATCAAGAGGAATTTAAAAGACTTGCTATGATACTGATAAGAGTAGAACAAATCACCCAAGAAGTAAATTAAGATAAAACCAAATATATGATAGTAAGCTGAAAATCCCACCCCAACCTGTATAGAAAGGAATATGATATGAAGAAAATGCCATTAAAAATAGATGGGGGAAGGCATATAGCTCTGAGAAATCCATCTTGAAGCCTCTATATATCAATGAATACGACAACAATAGACAAGAGTCAATGCAAACGGCCAAAAATTAGATGCATAGATTGAATCAACAAAGATGCGCAGGGGAACATGCAGATAACTGGAAAGTTATAGTTATGTAGCTATAGCTCAAGATAGGCAGAGATGTAGAAGGCTAGTCAAGGCAGAAAAAGATCTAGAAGGTCTCTAAAGCCAATGGGAGAAAAAAAGTATATTATAAAATACTATGAGTGAAAAATAGAAACAAATTTAAGCCAGAATAAAATACTTACCACATAATAATCCTTCCTCTCTAATTAATCGACGGGCCATTACTAAAGATTCCTTATCACTTGTTTTTATCCATTTGTCCACTACACTGCGATCTATGTATGACATTTCATTAAAAAATATAAATTAAATGATAAAAACATACATTATTCATAAAATTAATATTTTGATAACCAGGGCTTGAAATGAAAAGCTTTTATTTTTGATCAGTGGCGATATGATGATTGGAATTTTAAATTGTTTTTCTGATATTTCAGTACTAGAACTTTCCCAAATAAATGTTTTAACTAAAGGTTTTGAAGAAATTATATAATTGTGTATTTAAAACTTCTACTTAAGGAATTCATTTTGCCAAAAAGTCAATCTATAAAATGATAACTGAGTAATCATATAAATTCTTGCCTATTTAAACTAAGAAAATATAAGAATCAAATAATCCGTTAAAGATATCTGTACTCCAAGCCCAATTACTGTTTATTTCTCATAGGTTGTTTGATAAGAAATTAAATAAAATAAATTAGGAGTTGGTCGGGGAGAGGGGGAGATGCAGTCAAATAAATACTACATTTTTAAAATAGTATTTTAATCGTTATGCCGACATTTCGGCTATAGCCCAGATGAATATCTACAAAGTGGGTCAAAATGTCAGTGTAACAATTAAAATATTATTTTAAAACATTAAAACACTTTTTAAATTTTTTTAAATGTTTCAAGCCCTGTTTAAAAGTTATAGGCAGAAATTAAAAAAATAAATTGAAATAAAAAGGCAATACATTCACCTTTTTTAACAAGTAAAAGAGGAATCCAAATAATAATATAAAGAGCAATGTAGGTTCACTTAAAGCTTAGTTTTGCTATATTTTTAAATTTAATTATACATTTTTAGCTGTCAGTTGCATGGTATGAATTCAGTATGTAAAACTTTTTTTACATGGTTACTATGCACTGCACATAACAGGTTTGTGTTAAATGACAGTTCTTTGAAAGTTGAAAAAGTTATTCTCAGTACCAAAAAAGATGTTGGAAAAAAATGGCCAAACCATCTCCAACAAAACAAAGATATTAATTAATAAAACTCGGATCAAGTCAGTTGTAGCCTGAAATATGGTCTCTGGCAAAACAAGAAAAAGAGATTGCAGTTTTCAAGAGAATAATCCTCCTAAGAATCTTATTTATTAATGGTTAGTGCAGAACTTATAAAGAAAGAATTCTCTGAATAGTTTGAAGAGCTTAATGCAGTTACAAGTAGAAGGTTGAGAAGCCCCTTGGCTCAAATGAAGAAAAAGGAAGCTACTAGTAAATAGTTGGAATTCATCGTGGACTGCATGGAGATATAGAAAGGTCAAGGCTATGCTTGGTTGGCATGGCGGCATAGGTTACAAGAAGTCTCCATAACATCCAGCATTGAAAGTCAGAAGGATAAGATAAAGCAAAGTTGTTAAGGCTCATTGAAGTAGGTGAGGTTTATCAGGTTGTTGTTGTTGCGCCATGAAGTGGATGATCAATGCATTACTATTCATAAACTGCAGACATTACATTCTCAGTTAAGTTTTCATTTTTTAAATTCTAAGAATTTTGGTAAAAAATACATCAACTACCACTAGCTAGCTATAAAAAATTAAACAAAAAATTGGCTTGCTATAGCAATAAACCAAGGGTATAAAAAAAAAAAAAAAGATAAAAAGAAGCTAATTGAATGCAAAAATGCTATGAAATAGAATAAACACATTCTACCTGCATAAATCATCATCATCATCATCATGCATAAATCAAGTCAGTAGAGTTGCCTGAATTTTAGTACTTTAAAATGTCAGTAAATGAACTGAATTAAAAAGGTTAACATTTTTCTGAAATATTAAAAACTGCTTTGACTGCAAATAGTTTCTTAATATCTCTGAAAGCATGTGGAAGAAACATGTTATAATTTAAATATCATAGTAAGGTTACCAGAACTTAAAATTAGGTCAAATATAATGAGTACCTAAAACAGTTGGGATGAAGTCATAACCAATCCCTTCAACATGATACATTTTAACATCAGTTTCATTTACTTCTGGTGGTTGAGCAAGTATTGATCCATATGGATCAACTCCAACAATGGTAATATCTTTGCGTTTTTCTTTCAAGCAACGTCCAATGCCTGAAATAGTACCTCCTGTTCCTGTACCAACAACAACCATATCAATATTGCCATTGGTCTGTGTCCACATTTCAGAAGCTGTGCCTTCATAATGAGCCAATGGATTAGAAGGACTTTTATACTAAAAAACCAATTATAGAAAGAAATACATTAGTGAAACAAACTATTTGTATAAAATAAATACAATTAATAACAATTAGCTATTTTTAAAAATAAGATAGACAATTATATATATAAAGTAAAAAATACTATTGACTTATTGTTACAAATATGTATTTGTACACATAAATACTTAATACTACTTAAATGCATGACAGAGAAGGCTTCAGACCATAAAATAAATATAACAGATTTTAAAAATTAGTTTTACTAATAACAATAAATATAACTTTTTGGTTAAGGAGATGATGGTCAGGGAGATGGAATATACTTATCTTCTTACCTGACTGTCACCTCCGATTCCAGGAAAAAAAATAATATACACAATAATTATATATGAATATATTTTTTCTTTCTTATATTAGTAACTAAAGATTTTGTTAATACCTGATCTAGAATAATAGAATTAGGAATTTCTCGACACAATCTTTGTGAAACACCAAATAAACCTTTCGGAGAATCGTATGGTTCTTCAGTGGGTGTTCTGACAATTTCTGCCCCTAGAGCCTTTAAAGTACTTACTTTTTCTTGTGACATTTTCCAAGGCATTACTATGATACACTTATATCCTTTTACAGCAGCAGCCAAAGCTAATCCTATTCCTAGAAAACAAATTCCTCAATTCACTAAATAAAATGTGGCAAAAAAAAAAGTTTCAGAACAATAAATGTGTGTGTATGAACAACCCAGGTCAGTTAAAAGTCATACGGAACTGAAATTACATATTTAAAGTAGGTGTATGCCTGAAATGAGACTTTTTCACCAAAATCAACTATCTAGTAATGGCACTTTATGTTATTTAATTTATACATTTTCAAAAATTTATTGGTTGATTTTATTTTTATAACTTAGCATAATCATACCCCATTTTTGTATAATACATTTATATACGAAATGAGTAGCCAAATAAAAGATGAAAAACATAATTTTCTTTAGGAACTTTGAATTTTTATTTGATGAAATATTTCTGATTTCATATCCTGTGTATATATCCTGTATTTCGAATAACTTTTATTAATTCAGAGTGAAAGTCACATTTAAAAGAATATAAAATGTAAAATAATAACTTAACAGTGCATAAAAACTGTAATCGTTGATAAAAATGTTTGAAAGTTAAATGATTTAATCAAATCCTAAAAGTTAAAAAAAATTGTTAAAGAGGTATCAAGATTTAATACCCTAGCTTTTTGTTTATGTGTATTTTCAGCCTTTTTGTATTAAAACAGAATAAGAATTGCACAGTTAAACCTGCGAATGTTGAGAGATTTTGTATTTGTATTTGGATTGTGTATTTTGTATTGTCGATGTTTATAAAAAGAGATTTGTCATTTAAAATTGAAGTATTAAAAAACAGGTAGATTATGATAAAATATTGTATTCTTTACATTTTATTTAATCTGATAATTTAAACTCAAACCTGTATTTCCAGAAGATGGTTCAATAATAGTAGCACCCGGTTTTAAAAGTCCATTTTCTTCAGCTTCCTGCACCATACGATAACCTATTCTATCTTTTAAACTTCCCCCCGGATTCAGGAATTCACACTTTGCATCTAGAAAAATAAATTTTAATTTACTTTATGTTAAAGATTTTTTTTCTGATTTGTTTTCTTTCTTTTTAAACATTTTGGTTAAATAAAACCATTACCAAGTTCCATGCCTAAAAATATTAATCAATACCTAATTTGAGTAGATTTAATCTCGATATCTTTGCACATGAAATTATTTTAAATATAATAATGCAATTTAAATTCATTGGCCATATTCTTAAAAAACAACTACCCCTTAAATACATCATTTTAGAACAAATGGCTAATTTTTTTTTAATTGTCATAAAAATAAATTCTAGATCAGGGGTCTCCAAAGTTGTTGGTAGGCCTCATTAAAACGTCCACCAAATCCTGCCGGCCACATTGAGACTTCCATTAAGTCCTGTGATCCATAGCTTTTTATGAAAAAAAAAAAAATCTTGTTCTCTAAATGATCCTTCAATTGTGAAATAAGCTTTCTAAGAAAAACAATTCATGCAATAAATGTTATAGTAATCCCATGTTTAATTGATTTATTAAATTTTAAAAGTTTACCATGGATCAAAGAAACTTTCGCAGGCCAGATGGAAAGTGCTTGAGGGGGCCAGATCCTGCCCATAGGACATAATTTGGAGACTCCTGGTCTAGCTTATAAAATTTCAAAATTCAAATATTGTAGTACAGAGGTTCCCAAGCTTTTTTTACTGGTGGGCACATTTATAGGTCATGTGTTAACCGTCAGGTCCTATTTTTTTATTCAATGAGAAGTTCATTAATAAAAAGAAATATATACATACAGTAACAAACATCTTTATTATTTCCAAAACTAATGAAACATATTTCTACACAAAAGATGAAAAGACAAGTTTAATGAATGTTATTAAGTTTATAAAGGGTTTTTATAATAGATTAACAAATTTTATATTAGATTTAAAATTAATTATAATCAGTATGGGTTATAACTAGGTATGTAATATTTATGTTCAATTAATTATTGGATTTTTAATTGAAATAAATATTCAATATTTTATTAAAAACTTTAATTACGATATTCAGTAACTGCAGACAACAGTAAAATTGTTGCCAGGGTGATTGCCAATAAAGGTTAGAGATAGGCAGGCACAAGTTTTACATAGGCACAAGTGACGTCACACATGCACGGTTGGTGCCCGAGAGCTCTAGGTTCGGAACCCCTGTCCTATTATATCAAGTAATCAGCTAAAAAAGACAAGAAATATATATTTTTCTTCAAGTGCTTGTTTACTGTAAGTAAAAAAATCTTTTGGTGTGAGATTACCAAAGAAGATTGGTTAATTTTTATGAAGTACACATCTATTGTGAAATAATATTAACATGTTTTATTGTATAATTGACCAGTTTTGTTTTAACTTTAGTATTACATATGCCACAACCAAGGGTTCCCAATACTGAGGCTTATAAAAATTCCTCCTCTATTTCCTGCCTCCTTAACTATTATTATTTTGATGAAGTATATGAACTTTTTTTTTTCAAAATATCATTCCCCAATTGTAAAGTTAGAAAATACACATACATAATGAAAACAGTAAATAAATATTATGTATATAAAAAAAATGTATGTACCAGAATAATAATTTTGTAACCTACATCAAATATGCAGTGTCTAAAATAATCTTCCATCCCAAAAACAAAAACTTAAAAATCTAGTGACTGGCTTTGCACTTTGTGTTGGGTATCTCTAAGTTATATGAAAAAACAAGTTGTTATTTACATAACTTTGGGTACAAAATATATTGATATTAGACTTGAACATTTTGGAACATCAAGGAAATTACTAGATAATTAGATAATAGATAGAAATTAGATAATCATCTATGAGGTTTTAGATGGAACCAAGCTAATCAAATAATTTCCTTATAGAAAATACAAGAGAACAAATATAATAGAATGAGACTATGTTCATCAGCTTCATATCAATTTTAAAAGAGCTAATGATTCCATTGATCATAAGAAGCAATACAATATTCTGATTGAGCAGGGAATATCAACAAGGTAAGTAAATCTAGTAAGGATGTGCATGACTGAAACATTCAATAAAGCTAAAATCTGTAATTATTTATCCTAGATGTACTGATTTATATTAAGTAGTGTTTTATTAATACTGAACAACTTTTATTTAACATTAAAATTGGTAAAACTATTATTTAAGAAAGATTTTAAAATAGATTTGTAAAAACATTTTGAATTTGCACACATTGACTAAAATGTATTTAATTTACCAATCATTTAACTCAATTTTTTATTAATATAACACTAAATAATGAAGAATTTGCAATAACTTTCTTATGTGACTAATGTAGAGAGTACAAATGTCATGCGATTTAAGAAGGAGAAAGCCTTTCTCTGTACGGATGATTCATTTTCATCTAAATAGGATGGCATATTTCTGATAGACTCAGTAATCTCGAATTGTTTTTTGTAAATAGTTTTGTCTTATTTGATTACATTTTTTGAGTTATAAACTTTAAAGTATGGGTGATAAATATTCAGGACGCAGTCATTTTCAACGTTTTTATTAGTGCCGACGTTTCAACCCAAACATGTGTTTTGAGCACAGAAGGTATACGAGTACTGAATATTTATCACTCATGATATGTAGAACAGTCGACTAACTTCGTTCAAAAATTTAAAGTATTTATAAATAATTTGAATCCACAATTGTGGATTGATAGTTGACTGTCATGAATAATGAGGAGAAGGATGGTTGGGTTGATAAGTCAGAAATAAAAAGGCAAAAATAAATAATAATATTTATTTTAACATTTGCCAACGTTTCGACCTGAAGTTCAGGCCTTCATCAGGGCTAAGAAAAGAAAAGGAAAGAATTTGAATCCACCTTTAAAATAGCTGGAAAAGGGTTTCTTTAGATTCCAAAGGCATATTTACCTTTAATAAAATATTTAAATCAATTTACAATAATAATAACTTGATAACATTCAACATACAGAAAAGATTCCGTTCATCATAATGTTTGAAATTCTAATGAAAGATCACATATTTCTCTTCCTTGTACAGATTGTAAAGTGGTTATGATTGGTATGCCAATGTTGCTGCACATTGGGCTGCGGTAAGACCTTTTGACATCAATACCAGTTAAGGGAAATGAAATGCCAAAGCATATTTGACAACAGCACTTTACAAGTTAAATTCTTTTATATTAAAATAATAACAACCGTATGCTAGAAATGGCAAGGTAGAGGGTAATTGGGAAAGAAAAAATAACCTGCTATAAGTAAAAAATATAAAAATGTTGAACACAAACAAAACCAAAAAAAAAAAATTACTCACACATTTGACATTTGATGCCTTCTTTAGATGGAATGCTATTGAGACGTATCAGTGGTGTATTCCCAATAGCATGTAAAATATCTGGTAATACACTGGAACTAGCTGACCTAAAAAAAATAACAGAGCAAAAGGTAAGTAAAATTAATTTGTTTTCTGTTTCATAAGCAATTTCTATTTGACATTATAATAAAGTAACACTAGAAACCGTAAAAATCAATAAGTTTTTTACACCATGAATTTATTTTTATAAATAAAAGAATTATTTCAACTGTTAATTCGGTGAAATCCTATAACCAAATATAAAGGAAACCAATGGTTGGAAGAACAGTATTTTTTTTCTTTATTTCACAACTTTAACAACATTAGTCATATGTTGTCATCAAATATAAGTTTTTGCCATCTTCTTCTATCCTGCCAGTTGTTAGCTTAAAAAAAATAATGATTTTTTTTTTCTTAATTCAAATATTAAAATCTAGATTAGGAAAAGATTTGGTAAAAAGGTAAAAAGGGAGAGAAATTTAGAGAGGTATAGTAGAGAAAAAAAATGAAAAGTTAAATTTCAGACAAACTGAAAAAAAGGAAAAGAAAATCAAAATTAGGACTAAATGAAAAATGTTGATTGTAATTCAAAATTAGTTCATGTTAAGATAATTAAATTTAAGGTATATAAAGATGATGTAATTTAATGTACATAAAAATAATGTGTATTGTGAATAGTGATAAAAATTTGTAGTGTGGGGGCACCCAGAGTTTGGTTGTAGATGAGTGGGGCCTACGGGTTAGAACAAGAGAAAAGAGAGGGTTGGTGATAAGGACAGGTGTTGATGTTCCTCCTGATGACCGATTTATCGGATTTATTTAGTGATTGTGGTGATACTTTTTTTGTTTGCTTCACGATTGAAAAGACGCAAAGTGTCCGGAAGGAGATGTGACCAAAGAAACAAGCATCACCAACCAGAGGAAGACAACCTGATTTGGAGTGGAGAGCGAACAGCCTGACTCCAAGACAACCCTACATCACCAGCGATTTATAAAGGACAATATTGCATAAATACATGTATTTTTCACTTTATTTATTTTATATGATTGCAGAGTCTTGCTCAATTCAATCTCAATATTTTTTCTTTGTGGTAAAACTACACCTACTAACCTAACCTTCAAAGGTTAAGAACTATAAAGACATACTTAATTTTTTTTTAAGTTAGTTTAATTTTTTTCTCCAGCTGGATACTTACTTTTGTTTGCTTTTTTCTTAAGTGTTTAAATGAAAATATTTTTTTTTTGTTGTGTTTAATGAGAAATTTATTATTTGTTTTTATTTTATTTTAACCCCTTGGGTGATTTGCAAAAATGTATTAATAATCACCAATACTCTCGTCTCTCTGAATTTAATAAGATAGAAGGTAAGCCAGTTAAGGAATAACAGATGGCATGGCTGAAGGGTTAGGTGTCCGATTCCCGCCCTGAAGACCTGAGTTCAAATCCCCAATCTTGGAATAATTATTTTTCCTTTTTTTATTTTAGAACTACTTTTATCGTCAGTTTTAGTTTCCCTTCCATAATATTCATTTAGTTTTTTATAGATCCCATTTGAAAACAATAATTTCTGGAATGATATATGTTTTTTTAATTGAAGGTTTCACTATTATCCAAGTATAATGAAAAAATAGTTTAGTGTCCAATAAAGAAGTAGTAAGGATTAAAATTATCTACCCTAACATTTTTTTTTTCTCCAAGTAATAGTACATTACTCATAATTTTTAAAAAAAAATTTTAACCCTTGCCGTCTCCTCTGAAGTGAGGTAATTTTGGTCACAGTCTTCTTCACACATGCCCCTGTTCATCATTCCTTCCTTCATACCAGTTTCTCTTCGGGCGACCTTTCTTCCGTTTTCTTTCTGGTTTCCAATCCCAAATTTGCTTAGGCTGTCGTCTCTCTTCTATCCTCATCACATGCCCATACCACTTCAGCCTCATAGTTTCAATGGTATGGAGAATGTTCTCCATTTGTTCTACTCATTTCCTTATTTCACAGTTTAGAACTTTTTGAAGGAGAGAGACACCACATGATTATCTCCAATAGTCCATTTCTAGAGCCAGTAATAGTAATTTTGTAATGAAAAAAAAATGCTGTATTTTCATGAACAACCAAAGAGCAATCAAATACAAATAAACCACTTCTAAACCAAAAGATTTTAATTTTTATTATTCAAGATGAGATAAGGATATTAAACTAGTCTGCAATGGACAAGTTTTGGAGAAAGAAGATAATATACCTGCTTACGAATAACAGTTTGTAATAAATGAAGGATCATTAAAATAAAATATAACAAAAAGATGAAAAAGAAGCTGTGTGCGTGTATCAGGGAATATATATACACACATGTATACATATTTAACAATCATATAGAATAGATTAAATATGACTTAATACTATTTACACCTAATATTTTAATAAAAAACAATATTGTTCCTTACTTAGAAGTTCCAAAGAGTTTGTGTCCAAATTCAGCTTTAGATTCAAGACTCCAAGTGCACTTGCTGGGATGTCCCGGAAGAACAAAAGACGACTCCTGCTTATCTCTACAAATAAGAAAAAAAATGAATAATTTTAATTTACAAAAAAATAAATATATATACGTATAAATAAAATGACCATTTTTAATAATATTATAATTCATAATAATATTATATAGATAGAAATATACATTTATTAACCAACATTCACCCTTGGCATACAATTGGGCTATTTGATAAAATTAAAATTTTCTGAGGGGTGCCTGGCTAATTAAATATTAGTTACCAATCAATTATATAAAGGTAAATATTCAAAGTAATAATAGCAGACCCCATGTGCTAAAAAAATTTAATGTAAACAATGATCCGATTTTCTGCAGAAAAGTAGGAAATTTAAGTTTTGTGTTTTTTAAAGAACGTAATGTTTTTTTGTTGAATAGGAAGTGATAACTAAAAAATATTCAATTTAAATAATCAACAATTCCTTCACAATAAAGTAAACAAAATTTACTACAAATCAAAATTGTCTAACGAGCTTTTGTCTAACTAGGACGGCAACCAACTTGATACTGGATCTGTTACCATTTTCCAACATATTGGACAACATTCAAGATCAATTGCATACAATCCTCCCTCAAATATTTCCACATTTGAGGTTATTGAACAAGAAACTGCACGACCCTAGGTGATTTGAAAGCTCATTCAGATAAAATCATGGAAGAACTAATTAATACCAATCTTTGCACTTGGAACCCACACGAAAACAAACTTCATTTTGTAAAAGGAAAAAAACATCAAAAGCCATATAATGAACGTGGTTTGGTAACTGATACTGATGTTATCAAAAAGGACATGAGCTGAGTAGTGGCCAGGAACCATGAAAGATGAAGACCTACCCCCCAAACCAACGGACTCCTTTCTAGGCCTCACTTAAGCCTCCATCTGAGGGCCCTCTAAGGAATCAGAGCGTGCCTGTTAATGTCCAAGAAATATACAATACAGTACTTTCTTGATGCTATGTTATTCATGTGTATGTGCATATTATTTCGTAACTAACTTAGGGCAGAAAAATAAAATATGAGTTTAAAATTTCAAGGCCATGCAAACCCAGTTAAAAAGCTGAATTAACACCCATGTTTAACATCAATGTTGTTATATGTAGCAAGCACGATTCTGCTATGAATGCTTGATAAAATAACCAACATGGGTATCAAATTAAATAATGATAAATCCATTAAAACATGAGTCAAACATTAATGAAGTATGAAACAAATATTTGAATTAATTATGAAGTAGATGGTCAGGAAGACAGCAAAAAAAAAAAAAAAAAAAAATCAAATTACCACTAACTATTGATTTTAACTACTTATTTATCATGTATGTTTTGCAGTTTTTTAATGATTTGTCTAACTGACTCCCAGACCATCTCCTTGATTTATAATATGCTCAACCATTATCATATATAATTTAAATTAATTATTTAACATACCCATTCATCTTGAATGAAAAATATCTTTTCTTTTTTTATCTATTGACGAAAAGGTCTTCAGATAACTGAAATAAAAACGTAGTATCATATAAATAAATCAAATATACATAAAATATGTTGCACACACATACATGAATATATACATACACACACACACACACACACACACACACACACACACACACACACACACACACACAAAAAAAAAAAAATATATATATATATATATATATATATATATATATATATATATATAAACACACAATAATAAAAAAAATCTTAAAACAAAATTTTTAATTTATGGCCTGGGTAGGAGTAATGACTTCACCCCGTGTACTTTTATCAGGAATTATGTTATGGTTAACAAAGATGTCTCTTGCCATTGTGGACATAGGCGCAGACTTTTCATTCTGGTTGAGGGGAGGGGGAGGGGTTCACAGTAGTGCCCCCCAAAAAGTTCTGGTAATTTATATTATTCATAAAGATTATGAGTGATAATCAACATAATTATTAGAAAACGAACAATGTAATAATAATAATAATAATATATATAAATGAATTTTTATAATATATGAAATTATATTAACTTCTCCTCGCGCGGGCTCATTACCGGAGCGTCCCACAGGTGGCGGATGTGGGGAGGGTCGGTGTAAATTCCTTGGAAGTTCCCTCCCGGCTAAGTCCGATGGACTCGCTGATCAACAATAAGAGGTGCCCTCCAGACTTGCTGGAGGGTGTGACGTAGGATTGAACGCCCTACTCACACATCTTTAGTTCACCATACACCACAAATAGTCATGGATCTTCCTAAGATATAACGCTCATTATCCGGAGGTGAACTAGTCCCCCGTTCGGGTCTCCGGGTGGGAACTGCTTTAGGGGATTCACGGCCCAAGTAGAAAAATAGGGATTTCCGTATTAGTACGTGGAACATAAGGAGTTTAAACTCAGCAGGGGGATTAAAATCGGTCGCGAATGAGGTTAATGGGTACAATTTGGATATCGTGGCTCACAAGAGGTTCGCTGGCCAGGGGAGGGCTCGATGAGCGGAGGAAAGTACGCTATTTGGTTCAGAGGAAGCGGGAATCATTGTTTCGGTACCGGGTTACTAATTAGGAATAGATTGTTATCCGCTTTGAGGGAAGTACAATTCTTTAGTGATCGACTTCGGTAGGTATATTTCATATTATTTATATTTCAGGGCCGTTGGTTTAAAATCGAGTGCATAAACATACATTGTCCGACCGAAGACATTGACGATGAAGTCACGAAATTTTACGATAAACTTGAATAGGTTTATGATAAACTATCGCGAAACTCCATGAAAATAATTGTAGGTGACGCAAAACCCAAAGGTGGGGAGGGAAGAAGTTTATATTCCGACGATTGGTAAAGAAAGTTTGCACGAATATAGTAATGATAATGGGATCCGTCTGATAAACTTTGCCATCTCGAAAAACCTGATAATTAAAAGTACTACGTTTAAATCTAAGGATATTCATACATATATCTGGACATCATCGGATTAGCAAACACGAAATTAAATCGATCATGTCTTGCAATAACATAGATGGCAAAGCAGTGTAATTAATGTACGGTCTTATCGCGGAGCACAGGGTGGGTCGGATCATGAATTAGTAATCGCAAAACTTCGACAAAAACTTAATATAAAAAAGAGAAAAGAAAACCGTTTCAATTTCGAGAATTTCAATTTGGATTGTCAATTCAGTATAGTCGGTGGATCCAGGAGAGACCGCATGCGTCACAAGTATGTATAAGAGGTAAGCTGCTATAGTATGGACTAAAGACCTCCCTTGAAAAGGTTTAGTTCCAGTGGGTCGGCTATATTTATTGCCTGAATAAGGAACGAAAATCCAAAAAAGATAAAATCCAATCTCTGAGAACAGCCTAGACTAATATAGGATGCTCATATTATGAGGAGGTTTGTCTTTAAATGGTCACCAGTTTTAAAACGAGCGGCTTCGAAATGACAAACAAGGCTTATTTTACTTAACATGCTGCGTACTTTCTTGATTCACATTCAAACCTTCTCATAATATGAGCATCCTATATTAGCCTAGGCTGTTCTCAGAGATTGGACTTTATCTTTTTTTGATTTCCGTTCTTTATTCAGACAATAATATAGCCGAACCACTGGAACTAAACCTTTTCAAGCGAGGTCTTTAGTCAATACTATAGCAGCTTACCTCTTATACATACTCATAATCCCGCATGCGGTCTCTCCTCGATACACCGACTTGCACAACCAGTATCTAGTACCAACCATCCCTATATGGCTCCAAGAAGGTCAAAATGACAGTGGCACCGCGGCCTTTTGTAGTATACAGGGTGTTTCAGGGATAAGTGGCCTGGATGCCAAAGTGGCCACTGCCAAAAATGCAAAAATGAACTAAGGACCTCAAAAAAAGAAAATTTCGTCTGTAGGTATGTCCGCAAATGCTTTGTTTAGGAGATATTCACACCTAAAAATGTCCGTTGTTATAGATTATTTACATTACATGAAATAAATAAAATCTATTTATTTTTTTAACTAATTTATTAATTTGTGTGGTTGGGGATGATAGACAATATTTTAATAGGTCCGCATTTCTTAGTCTCGACTCAATGCGGGCATTTCTGGAATTTATTAATAATGATTACTATGATTTAGTTGAACAGAAAGGACATGTGGCTTCAATTAGATGGTTGTCCTGCACATTATGGAAGAGTTCCACGACAGTGACTAAATGTTAATTAGTCAATGGATCGGACGTGCAGGACTAGTGGCTTGACCTGCACGCTTTCCAGACCTGACACCACTGGATTTTTTGTTTGGGGGACATTAAACAAAAATTCTATGGAAGTCCAGTCAATGACCTTAATTCCTTACAAATAAGGATAATTGAATCTTGTGAAACAACAAAGAAAGATGCCGACCCTGTCTTAATGCTCAAGGAAATAACTTTGAACAACATTTAATATGAATATAATGTATACGATTAATTAATAAAGTAGGTGGAACAAATGAATAAGTTTGATTTACTTAATGTAACGTAAATAGTTCATAACAACGAAAATCTTTAGTTGTGAATATCCCCAAAATAAAGCGTTTGCGAACATACCTTCTGATGAAGTTTTTTTCTTGTTTTGAGGTCCATAATTCATATTATATATATATATATATATATATATATGTTGGAGTTATATATATAATATTTCATATATATATATTGGAGTCATATATATATATATATATATATATATATATATATATATTATATATATATATATATATATATATATATATATATATATATATATATATATAATATGAATTATGGACCTCAAAACAAGAAAAAAACTTCATCAGAAGGTATGTTCGCAAACGCTTTATTTTGGGGATATTCACAACTAAAGATTTTCGTTGTTATGAACTATTTACGTTACATTAAGTAAATCAAACTTATTCATTTGTTCCACCTACTTTATTAATTAATCGTATACATTATATTAATTAATATGACTCCAATATATATATATGAAATATTATATATATAACTCCAACATATATATATATATATATATATATATATATATATATATATGTTGGAGTTCTGGCAATGAGTAGATTCTCCACTCAAGACATGAGTGTAAAGCGCTCTCGCTCAATCTCCACTGGCTTTAGCACCAGTGACAAGTTTGAGAGTGTGGCGCAGGGATCTCTTGGAGCCCTGGTTTTCCCGCTATAGTTGGAAAGACAAGTTGGCTTGTGGTTCCTTGCCCGATTGTAAGTATTGTATATAGGTATATCTGAGTTTTTATGTTCTTTTTTTTTTATTGCATATAATTTTTGATGATTATTTAGTTGTTATTTTGCTATTATTTTTTTTTCTTGTATATACAGTGTGAATGTGTTCTTACCTTACTATAATCAGAGATGGGCAAATGCTACTCTGAGTACCGAGTACCAAGTATTTTACTCAAATTGAATAACTATCACAAATTCAATCACTACTTTAGTTAATCACTTGACTTCAACTGAAGTAGTAATTAAATTCTTTGGTACTCAAAAAAGGACAGTATTTGATTAAAATACTTGGTACTCAGTACTCAGAGCAGTATTTGCCCATCTCTGACTATAATTATTGTTCGTACGACAGAACCTCATTATATTACTGAATAAATAAATAAAAGGGAAAAAATCATTATATTAAATACTGATTATTTATATCAAGGATGTACTACGATATAGTAGATATATAATATAGCATATACTTTTGAACGGCTAAACTAAGCTAAGTTCTGTTTTAAAGAAAATCATAAATTATTCGGCATTTTTTTACCATCATCGTATTATACTAGAGATAATCCACCTTTATAAAAATTTCCTTGTTTAATAACCTTCAAATCAACATAAACTTTAGTTGAGGTTTTTTTTTTTTTTTTTTTTTTTTTTTTTTAAATTTCTTTATTGAGTATTATAACAATCTGTCTGTTGGACATTGGTTATAGTGAGGTAGGATGACATTCACACCATATGTACAAAAAAATAAAATAAATAGAACAAAATAATAATCAAAAGTATATACAATAGACAATAAAATAAAATAACCTAAAAAATAAGAAAATTAAAACTAAGGAAAAAAAACAAAAAAAAAAAACACATGCATACCTATATACAATCAGGCGAGGGAACTCCAGGAGAACCCTGCGCTACTCTCTCAACCGCGTCACTGGTACTAAAGCCAGCGGAGATTGGTCGAGAGCACAAGTTGAGGTTTTTAAAAAAAATTATGGGATTTTTCATCCTGTCACCTAAAGGTCACCTGTGTTTTTAGCTAGAATTATTATAATTAATTGTTGAAAAACTTTTATATCTTGCTTTTCCATGATCTGGGGTGTATTGTAATAAACACAATTGCCTAAATACACTTTTTATTAATTAATTTTTTTTTTACAATAATGATTAAGCTATTATCTGTAATATAGGAATTGATCCGTATTTATTTATTAAGTGGCAAACTAAATGTTTCTAGGTTTTCTAGTCCTGAAATGTACGTTTAAAAT